CCCCCCCCCCAAAAAAAAAAAAGTGGAAAAAAAAATACTTGAAGCTGTTTTACCAAAGAGATGCATGGTTACTAAACATGAAAAGATGCTTTAACACCTGTAGTCATTAGGAAAATATAAGTTGAACTAACAGTGAGATAGCACTTCACATGTGTTAGAATGACTAATCTAAGGCTCCTAATTCCAAGCATTGGTGACTATGCAGAGGTAAGGATGCTTGTGCATTGCTAGTGGGATAGTGAAGTGGTTCAGCCGCTTGAGTGTTTATCAAAGTGTCACCAACTATTAGTACTGTTAGTATTCCCAATAATCCATTCAAGAGAAATAAAAGCATACATTCATGCACATAATCTTAGCACCAGTTCATCCTGCTAGTGAAGGGAGAAACAAAAGATACTATAAAAAGGAATAAACCACTAACCTGTACTACAACACAGAATGAGTCTTAAAATATTCCAACTGATGCTTACATAGAATTATTCTGTCTTTATCAAATTTCTAGAAAAGGCAATCTGAAGAAGGAAGGTAAATCAGTGGTTGCTGGGAATGGAAAGTGGCTGCAGACAGCAAGAGAACTTTTTGGGCTAATGAGAAGGTTCTGAAACTGGTTTGTGATAATTGTGTAACTAAATTTACCAAAAGTCATTGAACTGGAAAAAATACTCATGTATGATGTTTAATAACCCATGACTACTTGGTATAAAGTGGGTGATAGAAGATCTTTGATTTAATTGAGATGGAGTTGACAAAACATTTCATGAGTATTTTTGTTTGTAGACCATATTTCAGTGTAATGGGGGGGTGTCTTTTCAAGATTTGGAACTCTGAATTTCCCAATGGAAAGCTTGAATTGTCATTTGATTTTTGAAGGAACTAATCATTTATGTTTTCTTTCTTTATTTTAGGTTCGTTACCGTGAACGCATCACTATTCTTCGAGGGAATCATGAGAGCAGACAGATTACACAAGTTTATGGTTTCTATGATGAGTGCTTACGAAAATATGGAAATGCAAATGTTTGGAAATATTTTACAGATCTTTTTGATTATCTTCCTCTCACTGCCTTGGTGGATGGGCAGGTTTGTGCATTTTAAAACTCACTTTTGATTACTTTTAGGGTTCTGCTTATCCCATTATCCTCTCCTACAACTCAGGTTGGCCAAACCACCCTTGAACTTACAATCCTCAAGTCTCCCAGATGCTGAGGTTTATACACACATGTTCCCACCCAAGATACCCACTTGTATCTTTTTTCGTCTTCCTTTTATAGGACCTTTGCAGTGAACTAGATCCCCGAGCCTTGTTAAATTTAGAGACTAGGTCTTGAACTTGTAATGTTCTGCCTCACCTCCTAGGGTGAAGGGATGATCTGCTTTATTAATATTTAAATGCAGGGCAGGTATGGTGACACATAACTGTAATCCTAGCACTCAAAGGCTGAGGCAGGATTGCTGTGAATTCAAGGCCAGCCTAGACTATATTACAAGACCTGTCTCAAAACAAATGTTTAGATTCTAGTGACTTTGTTTTCCTTTTGAAATTTGGTTGGGGGTTTTTGTGTTTGTTTTTGTGTCTTCTTTTTAGCAAGCACTGAAGTGTATATATGGGGTGAGTGAGATCACAGAGATAGAAAATATAGCCCAAGTCCAGGAGATGCAAAGAGTTACTTACTGCCCCAGATAGAGGTGGTACACAGAACTTGCAAGAAAAACCCATGTGAAGATACTACAGTTAGTTTTAGTGGAGGGGTGTGGATAACAGAAAGTCACGTTTTCTTGAAGGAGCTGATAGAGGTGAAGTCTGAATATAGTGTGGGTAGTGTGTTAAGAAGTGTGTATTCTGTAATTCTCAATGGGCTGGAGAAAAGGTGGGTCCTCCAGGCAGACATCATACAGGAAAAGCACACAGACACCATTTGGGCCAAATGACAAAGGCAGCTATCTGTAAGTTAGTCTAGAATATTTTAGAGTTTAAGTGAAGTTAATAGTGAAAATGAATCTTTTCAGATCTTCTGTCTACATGGTGGCCTCTCTCCATCCATAGATACACTGGATCACATCAGAGCACTTGATCGCCTACAAGAAGTTCCCCATGAGGTATGGCTTTTACTTGGTAATAAATGCTGTTCAGAAAACTTTTTAGAGAATTTAATTAAAAAGTTCGTTTTATATGAAAAAAATCCCTTAGGTGTGAACATTTTTTAGCAGTTCCGTTGATCACAAGTTTAGAAGCCTATCAAGATGACAGTGGGTATGGGCCTGGCTTTGTTAGAACCTACCTTGTCTTAATTGCCAGTTCATACTGTCTACTACTGAATTTGCGTACTGTAGGCAGGTTGAGGTGCCCATGTATTGATGCCAGTGGTATATCACAGAGACTTCCAGGAAATATCTGTCATTTCACAAATGTCTTAACTAAAAGATCTATTAGGGGCCGGGGAGATGGCTCAGTGGAATAAGTGCTTCCCTGGCAAGCACAAGGGCCTGAGTTCTAATCCCCGGTTCCACAAAAAAATAAAATAAATAAATAAAAGATCTATTGTTCCTTTCAGCACCCAGGCTCAAAAAGTGACATAGAAAGCTGCTTCTGATGAATTACTCAAATCATGTGTAACTTAAACTTACGTTTTTAGGGTCCAATGTGTGATTTGCTGTGGTCAGATCCAGATGATCGTGGTGGATGGGGTATATCTCCTCGGGGAGCTGGTTACACCTTTGGCCAAGATATATCTGAGACATTTAATCATGCCAATGGCCTCACGTTGGTGTCTAGAGCTCACCAGCTGGTGATGGAGGTATGTTCTGTTCTTTAAAACAAGACTTGGCTTTTAGTAAACTGAAGGAGAGAGAAGATACTAGGGAGTTTTAATGCTGTTACTGAGGCATTCCTTGTATTCCTTCTCTTGAGTTTGCCATTGTAGCTTAAGCGTTTTGGTAGTTGCATGCTAGAATTAAAAACTGGCTTTTGATAATGATATTTGATGTATTTTAGAGAATTCTTAATGACTGGAAAGTGCTTGGGATTTAGGGAAATAAGATATGGGAATACAGGATTGTGTAATTTTGTGATTTTGTTTTTGCTTTTATGTTTAGCATATGTATATATACAGGAGAGCTAAGAGCTACGGAAGAAACGAATACTGAAGTAGTTCTTTGTATGGTAGGGTTACAAGTGATTTGAAAGAAACAATAGGAAACATGCTGGGGTTCTTGTTTAGCATACTTTTAGAATTAGGTCTTACCTAATTTAATAATACAGCTTTGTGAGAAACATGTGAACAGTGCTAAACACAAAACAGAAGTAGCTTATGCATTCAGATGGACTTTGAGGGTATAAAGCTAGTGACTACAGAGATGTGTGTCATTTGTGTAAGGGTAGTGGCCAGCTTAGGGATCTTCTCCCCATGCCTGAGAAGAAAGTAAGATTCTGCTCCCTAGGAGTACGTGTATTAGTGTGTTGTCACTGCAACAAGTTACCTTATGCTAGCTGCTTGTAAGGAGAGTTTGTTTGGGCTCAACTGAGTTCTGAAGGTTCAAGTCCAGGATTGGGCAGCCCCATTGGTTTGGGCTTCTAGTAAGGATAACACATCTTAGTGCATACGTGTGTGAAAGCAAGAGTCACATCTAGAATCAGGAAACCGAGACAGACACTTCAGGGCCCTACAATCTTCTTCGAGGGCACTTCCCAGTGACCAAGGACCTGCCACTAGGTCCGATCTCCTCCCTGTATCACTACCTTGGGGATCAAGCCTTTAACACAGCATGTGCTGTTAGGAAACATGTAATATTCAAACTGCAACAATGTGTATTTACTTGTGCAAGGGATACTCATAGAGTCCTGTATCTTAAATCATGTTCTTCATTCTGTTTTTGTGTTTTGAGACAGGGTCTCAGTTTGTAATCCAGTCTCTGCTGGCCTTGAACTCACTAAACCGAGGCTGTCTTCACATTCTTTTCTTTTCTTTTTTCTTTTTTCTTTTTTTTTTTTTTTGGTGGAACCAGGGATTGAACTCAGGCCCTTGCGCTTGCCAGGGAAGCACTTATTCCACTGAGCCATCTCCCTGGCCCCGCATGTTTCATTCTTAAACCATGCTTAGTTTATTTTATCAAGAGGCTGATGAGACGCAGGCATTTACAGAAGTCCAGCTAAATACATTGCTTATTGGTATTACATATTTTTTATAAAGTTCCCCCTGCCCGAGGGGTGTAGATTGAACCTGAAGTCTGTATAGTAAGCATGCACTCTACCATTGAGCTCCAAACCCCACCCCACTCACTTTTTGTTCTTTATTGTTGAGGCAGTTTGGGTAATTGTCCAGGTTGGCCTTGAACTTACGATCCTCCTGTTTTACCCTCCTAAATAGCTGGGGCTACAGGTGTGACCCCCCATGCCCAACTTTTTTTTCTTTATATAATACACGACTAATTGCTTTGTTAATTTGGGAAAAGTAAATACCTATTTTTTATAGTTGTGCAAAATACAGAAAATTAAGCCTAATGGGGAAAAGTTACAGGTTTTTCATTGTTGTATGTAAATTTTGAAGTAAATAACTTTTTTCTCCCTTTGTAGGGCTATAACTGGTGCCATGACCGGAATGTAGTAACAATTTTCAGTGCTCCAAACTATTGTTATCGTTGTGGTAACCAAGCTGCAATCATGGAACTTGATGATACTCTAAAATATTCTTTGTAAGTACTTAAACCCAAACATTTGGTTGCTGTTAATGAATACTTGGTCTGACTGGGAGGTGTAAGTATTCGTGAATTCATGCTAATTCCAAGTTGATTTCTAAATTTTCATTAAAATAGACCTGTGATATATTGAAACACTCAGCAGAAAGTAACCCTCTGTAAGCCCTATTGTTGATCACCAGGTGTTCAATTTTTAAACCTGTTTTTATTATTTAGTAAAGTTAATAATGTATATTCTGAGGATGAGAAACCATATAGTTTTTTAGAGCTTTAAGTTTTACTTATTTGGTAGAGACTCTTTCAAGCCATCTGAGAAGGAACCCCATTGTATAATAAATAGCATAGCTTTCCTAACTGAAGTTGGCTAAGTTCTTAACACGGGAATGCAGCTAAAAGACCGTAAGTGGATGATTTTGGTTTCAGTTAAAGCTCTGTTTTCCTATCCAAGTAAAAATTGAATAGGAAAAAGTTACATAAAGTTTGAAAGACTGAAGTTCTTACTTACGATTGTTACTGTGTGAACATCTTTAAATATGAACAATGAACTTTGTCTTATTTTCAGCTTGCAGTTTGACCCAGCACCTCGTAGAGGGGAGCCACATGTCACTCGTTTTACCCCAGACTACTTCCTGTAATGAAAATTTAAACTTGTACAGTATTGCCATGAACCATTTATTGATCTAATGGAAATGGGAAGAGCAACAGTAACTCCAGAGTGTCAGAAAATAGTTAACATTCAAAAAACTTGTTTTCACACGGACCAAAAGATGTGCCATATAAAAATACAAAGCCTCTTGTCATCAACAGCCGTGACCACTTTAGAATGAACCAGTTCATTGCATGCTGAAGCGACATTGTTGGTCAAGAAACCAGTTTCTGGCATAGCGCTATTTGTAGTTACTTTTTGCTTTCTCTGAGAGACTGCAGATAATAAGATGTAAACATTAACACCTCGTGAATACAATTTAACTTCCATTTAGCTCTAGCTTTACACAGCATGACTGTAGATAAGGGTAGCAGCAAACAATCATTGGCGCTTAATGAAGATTTTTAAAAATAAGTACCATGCCTCTCCTCTACTTGTGAGTTTTGAAATTGTTTTGTTTATTTTCAGGGATACTGTTTAATTTAATTGTATGATTTGTCTGCACTCAGTTTATTCCCTTCTCAAATCTCACCCCCATGTTGTTCTTTGTTGTCCGAACCTGGTGAGTTATTCTGAACAGAAATGTTTTCCCCCTTCCTGTAAGACGATGTTACTGCACAAGAACACTGCAGTGTTTTTCATAATAAACTTGTGAACTAAGAACTGAGAAAGTCAAATTTTAATTGTATCAGTGGGTAAGACTGGTGCTGTTTAAAGATAAATCAATTAATAAACTTTTGAATTTGTAGAACTCTAGGTAAACAAAAAATAAATACGAAGGCCACTATACGACCTCTCCAGTAACTTTTTGACATTCTTCAGATGAGCTTCAGGATTTATTTGTATTACCTATGGTATAATTTGTCGTATTGCTGATGTACTTTGAACTTGTCTTTAGGAAAGGAAATCTGTGCTGCTTTGGTAAGATCTAACTGTTAAACTATGTAACATCAGGGTTAAGGTTTTAGGATTTAAGTGGCATGTTTTCAGGTAGAGCTTAAATGATGTGTCTACTTAGTGTAGTTCCTGGTTATAAATATTATATTGCTATGTATATTTAAGAGTTACATGAACTTTTTAAAATAATTGACAGACTGCTACGTTAACAAATATCTGTACATTGCCTGTTGAGTCATGTGATCTTAATGTCTTAGAAAGCTGTTAAAAGCATTAATCTGTATTCTTTAAGTGATAATCAGTGAAAGCAAATAGAAAATTATTATTGGATCGTTGTTTAGTGTAATGTACATTTACCCAAAGGGAAGTGGCATTTGAAGTGCCAGACATTTAATGAATCTTCCCCTTTTTATCCTTTGAATAGGATTAGAAGTTCTGTGTGAACTAATACTTGATTTTTTTTAAGCTACCAGGGTATATATTTCACAGCACTAATCATTAATATGTGTGAGTATAGTTAATAAACATTTCCTTGCTTTGTACTGTGTTGAGTTTGGAACCAATAGAGAAGTTGCACCATTTCCTTTTTTAAGAAGTATGAAGCAAATACATATACACAATTTGAAGTGTGTGTGTGTGTGTGTGTGTGTGTGTGTGTAGATTTGAAGTAAATTTTTTCGAATGATATACTTTTTCTCTCCAAGCTAGTTCAGGCTGGCTTTGAACTCACTATGTAGCCTAGGCTGTCCTCAACATTGCAGTGATCCTCCTTCATCAGCCTCAGAGTGCCGAGATTATAGGCTTGAGCCACCATGCCCAGCTTTTCCAGGTCTTGTGATGTTACAATTGACTAAAGGAATTCATACCTTGTAATTGACATGTGGTGCTGTCATCCAGGTATAAATCCTTAAATATTGGGACTTGACATAAGAATTGCACATTTTTATAATAATTGAATTTGAAAAGAATGCCTGGGCTTTCCATCTAGACTTAAAAGTGTTAGTGCCTTTTCCTGTGAAATGAGTAAGGAAAATGGTATGGTCATGTCCTCTAAAAATGGATGATTATAATTGAAATCACTGAATTAGGTGTTTTGTTTTTTACTGTGATTTATGTTAAAAACTTCAAAAGCTTCTTGCTCTAAGTACAAAGGAGACCATAAAGTGTCTGGGTTTAGCTTAGAATGTTAGACCAGCATAACACACACCCACATGCACGCGCGTGCACACACACACACACACACACACACACACACAGAGTATTCTGAGTACTTTAGTCTGAGGGCTTGAAGTTTGCTTTGTAAATGAATTTATAGAATGATATGTTTCTTGAGTATTTTAATCAAATTGATTTTTTTACATTGTATTTTTTTGACACAAAAATTGTATTAATGAGGTATAGTGTGATGTTTCAGTACATGTATACTTTGTGAGATTTTAAAGGCAGGTTAAAAACATTTTGCCTCAGGCATTATCGTTCATCTATGACAAAAACTTGGAAAAAGCTAGGTTTTTTTGAAATACAAAATACATTGTTACCCATGTTTGTCTTACTGTGCAGTAGTACACCAGAACTTCTCCCTTTGATCTGACTATAACTTCATAGCTATTGGCCAAATTTTCCCATGCCCCCAATGCAAATTATTTTTCCCATTGGTTGTATATTAAAGTACTATTGATTGTAGAAAGGCATATTTTAGGTGGTAGTTTAATTTAGCATGACAGTATTATTTTTGACAGTGAGTTGGCTTAATAGAAAAACAAGGTTTTTTTTCCTGTGGTTAATTTTTATGCCTTTACATATCCTGATTTAAATTATTTGGAGGAATCTAGGGAAAGTAATTTATCTCTAGGGTTGATGCTTGTTTTCAAGTACAAATTTAAGGAAACTGAGTTACATGGTGATGGGTGATTTGTAGGTTTCAGTATAAAATTAAAATCTTTGTATGACTCTTCGTTGTTTAGTACTATCCTGTGTAATGCCTTATTTTAACCAATTTATGCCAAAGGTTTTTTTTTTCTTCTTTTTGAGGCAGGTTCTTGCTGTGTTCAAGGCTGGCCTTGCACTCACTGTGTATATCCCACCTTGACCCTGAACTTGTGATTCTCCTGCCTCAGCCTCCAAATGCTAGGATTATAGGCGTGTGTCCACTGCACTCAGCAATTTATTTGAATTTTTGCATGAAATTCATGTGTGTTGCCTAGAAAAATTCAAGGATCAAAAATTTGAAGAGAAGACCGGCCAAATAAAATAGCTCAGCAGAGTAAAGTACCTGCAAGCAGGTGCAGGGACTTGGGGTTTGATGCCCAGGCCTGCCATGCTGGTCCTGCCCCCAGGGCATGCTGAGACCACAATTGAGACTGGGCGTGGTGGTGTGTGCCTATAATCCTGGCTCTTGGGAGGCTGTAAACAGGTGGATCACTATGAGACTGATCTGGTAGTGAGACCCTGAATACCCTCTAGACCCTTCCCTAAACCATACAAGAAAAAATTTGAAGAGAAAAAATTTATTCATTGTTACAGTTGTTCTGAAAATGGAATGCCAGGCATTGAAAGATTATCACGTTCAGAGTGAGGCTCTAATTCATACATTTTGCTGCCGAAGTGGCTTGAATTACCAGTGGTTTGGTGGCTCAAACCAGTTGGAATGTGTTAGACCACAAATATACTCTAGAAATATGACTGACATTTAGTAATAGACTATTTTGAGGTGAGTTGTACCTCTGTGAACCAAAGCTGTTTTTCATTAAAGATATAACTTGTTTTCACATTATTGACCTATTTCTTGCTTTTACAGAATTTTTTAACTTGGTTCTTTTTCTTCATAGTGGTATAGCTGTTCCAGTGAGTAGGGCAGTAGCCTTTGTCAAAGTTTGAGATGTATTTGGGCATGGTCCCTGTATTTGTTTCAATTATAGTTTAAGCTTTATGTATTAGAACTGTTATTTATGTTTTGCTACATGTATTAATCTCAAGTATCGTTATTGTGTCATTATAACGGCACAGTTGGCTTGCAGACATTGGTATCCTGGTAAATAGGTTAAAATGTCTACTAACTGGAGTAAAGTTGAGGGGGAAATGAAGGTTATGTTTGAGCTTAAAAGTTGAACATACAACGCTGCTAAGACGCAAAAGAGGAATTACAGCAAGTAGCCCAATGCCGAGAAATGGTCATAGTTTTTAATTTCTAAATTACTGTCTTTTCGAGGCAAGGCTTCTCTGTGCAGTCCAGGTTGGCCTTGAACTTGCAGTGATCCTGCTAAGTGCTGGAATTACAGGTGCGCAGGCATGCACCACCACATTTAGCATCATACTTCTGCTTTTAATGAGAAAAATAAGCCTGGAGTTCATGGCTAGAGCCTGAGTTATAAGTGGTTTATATTCCCATAAGACTTGGGAAAAGCATTCTGGCTGTCTTCTGCCTCCCATGCTGAGGACAGCACTGCTTAAGGCTTGTTTTACTATTTTTGAAAGTTTCTTGAAAAGCAGCAACCATTGTGTACAGTCTCATCAGCCATCCAATGTCAGTGGAGATACTGTCATATATGTTCTTTCAGGAGATGATCTAGCAAATTTTTGTGTTTTGTGGTTTTTTTGTTTTTCTTCTGCTGGGGATAGAAAATAGAGCCTTGCTCATGCTTTGTTCAGCCCTCCACAGCTCAACTACAACCTAGGCCTAATTGATCTTCCCTTAGTGCTGGACTTAAAATGCTACAGCTGCCAGCAACTGAAATGTCCATTGATGGAAGTCAAAGGTGAACATCATGGTGATACAAAAAAGAATTAATGTGCTGATTGTTCTGTAGCACATGGAAGACCAAAGTGAAAGAGGTAAATAAAGCATTGGAAATATACCTATTATATGCCTCTGCTTGGAGGGCGGTGTACCTTCGGAAGTTCAGGGACACAGCAGTATTTTCAGAATATTCTAGTGTTGCAGTGGATCCTGGGCATCTGGAGATGAGGCCTAATAGTCTAGTGTTGTAGCAGATGTGTCAGGAAAAAGCTTGGTATTAAGGTATGGTGAAGTACACATGTAGAGTCTATAGATTATGGTAGTGAATCCTGCCTGCCTGTCTAGGTACTGGTGTGTCCCAGCAGCAGTGGAGTATGGATGTGTTGGACAGAGGCACAAGGTTTGGGGGAGAAGCTGTGTGATACATTTGGTCTGCAGCATTCTTTACTGAATACATATTATTATAATTTCACCCTTTCCATCATCTGAGTAAAGTCAAACGTAACCCACTCTGCCCCCTGAAAGAACACAGCTAGTTGAAATATGGGTCCAAATTTTTGGAATCACATTGGCTATGGCTTTCGTGATCTCAGGGTTCTGTGAGACCTCTTATGGCCTCTTTGCCTATAAACAGCACATTTTGGCCTTGATTTTAGTCTTGGCTCTGGATTTCTTTAAAATATATATATTTTAACTCATTAACTTCATTGAAAATCAATATTATAGCAATGAACATAACATTAATTATAGATTGCACACTGTAAAAAATTATTTGCAAACTTAAATGAATATAACAAAAAATTGCAGATGAAGAAAAAGAGTTTACAGATCAGTCATATAATAGTTTACTCTGCCAAAATCAAGAAACTTATATAATTAGAATTCTCAGGGGTAGTTTGAATTTCATCCCCGGAGTTTCTGATGGAGGCTCGAGTTTTCTTGCCGGTAACTCAGCTGCGGGTGGCCCCTTTGCTGCCACCCGGCAGGAAGTGAAAATCTGGATTAAAAGATGACCTCGGAGCTGGAACAGTTATATTCTCATGTTAATGAAAAGATTGGCAGTATTTAAAAAACTCTATCATTAAGAAATCTTGGCCAGGAACCTACATTGAAAACTATATTAAATAAAATAGGAGAAGAGATCATTATAGTAAATGAACTTCTAAATAAATTTGAAATGGAAATTCAGTATCAAGAACAAACCAACAGTTCCCTCAAGGAACTCTTTGAATCTCTTGAAGAAGATTATAAAGATGTGGAACATATGAACGAAAACATTCCTCCCCATTTGCCTCAAGTAACAGTATCACAGAACTTGGTTAGTGGATCAGATCTTGATGCTGAAGAGCCAGTAAAAGTTGAGGAACCTGAACCCAAAAAGAAGCCTCCAAAAGAACAAAACATTAAAGAAATGCTGTTTATATCTACTGATGAATTCAATGGAGTTCTTTCGTACATGAAATCCCGCTTAACCTATTCTCAAATTAACAATGTTATTAAATCAATAAAGCAGTAGTTAGCAAATACAAGATTGTTCATCAATCGAAGAAGTCTATGAACTCTATAACTAGAAATCTCTATCAAAGATTTATTAATGAAGAAACAAAGGATACTAAAGGTCATTATTTTATAGTGGAAGCTGACATAAAGGAGTTCACAACTCTGAAGGCTGACAAGAGGTTTCATGTGATCCTGAATATTTTGCGACACTGCTGGAGGCTGTGAGAGGTCCGAGGGGGTGGACTTACCCGTTATGTCATAACCTGAGGCCTTGGCTTAACTGACAGGTAGTAAGGCATAGATGCT